TTAAAGCTTTTATATGTTCTGGGCAAGTTTACTGCTCCTTCCATTTGAGCACTTTCATTTTTGTATTGTCTTTTGTGACAGCGCTGACTGAAAACTTTTTACTGGTATTCTTATGACTTGTTTTGTACTTTCTTCTGCAAAATACAAGCTCCTTTTTAAACCAAATGAACTGACCATGAGCTGGCTTCAGGGGAAGTAATACAAGACTAAGCAGATGTGCTGGTGAAGAGCTGGAATGCTGTTCCACACTCTTAAATTCCTACACAATAAATATCCTTTGACTTTTATTTATTTAAAATATTTCCTTGAGAACAGTGGGAAGTTATGCTAGGATATGAATGCATTTGTAGTACCCTCTGGCACAATATACTTGCTTTAGAAATGTAGTTCTTTGTTGCTGTTTTATATATAAACACAGTATTTTTATACCTTAATGTTTATATTGATGGCATCTGTCAGATATTTGAAGGATCAGAAGTGAGATTTGTCCCCAGAAGTCCTTTATTTTACCTGATGATCTTATCAGGCAATTACTAGAAAATCTTTGTGGTTTTACTATCAGGAAAGCTCTAAAATGAACTACAAAAACGTTAGCCCTTTGTCAAAAGCCTGAAGGGCAAGTGAGGGCTAGGACTGGGCCTTCTCCTTCCCCTTGAAGCAGGCTCAGGCCCTGACAGCTGCTGGTGGGAGGACACAGGATAAGAGGACGAGGGATGGTGGCCTGAAGGCAGCTGGAAGCTCCACCTCCAGCATGGGACTGCCAAGCTCAAGCACACCTCTTGCCTACAGCCTGTCCTCTGCCCTGGCAGCACAGCCAGCCTTGGTCTTCTGTCCATGCGAGGTTTATAAATAAAGCATCTTATGTCAGACTTCTTGGTTACTTGCTGTTCACTGTGGGGAGGCTGTTCCTTGATATGAAGGGATGGGCCTGGCTTCCTGCAGTGCCCACAGCAGGGCCTCAGAGCGCTTCAGAGACTGATGGTTGCCAGGTCCTGCTTCTGTCTTCACCTGTTCAGAGAATTTTTGAATGTGGCCAGAGAATAGCTTAAGAACATGATTAGGGTCACTGGAGAGCAACCCCACCTACCCTGAAAATGTTGGCTCAGTCCCATTTCCTATCAGTACAACCACAGAGGCCCCCACCCACACGAGAGCCCCAGTGCTGGCTCAGTGGCCTATAGGTTTATGTCCATCTGTCAACCCCACAGACTCCACACTCTTCTCCTCTCACATGTTTTAGCCCACAGCCAGATGGGCCGAGGGGGAGGATGTTCAGGAAAGACACCCTGTAGTGTTGTCCCAGAGGAAAAGGCTTTCCAGGAAGCTGAGGTATCAGGGTCTAAGAGCAAAGGAAGAAGGCCAGGCCAGGGCCATGTCACAGAAAAATAAGGATCAAGGGAGGGATCAGGAGACACTGATACAACTGGCCTGGAAGCCAGGAGTTGGTGACTAGGATGGGTCTAAGCAACAAGGTCCTTTCCTGAGCTGGAGACAGCCTTCTTCATTGTCACAGCAGGAGCTGTCAATCTCATCCAAGGACCAACCATACAGAGTGGGACCCAAGGAAAGGGCAGCAAAAAAGGTTTATGAGTATCGCTGATGTTCTAGTCCTGGGTCAAAGTTTTCCAAGGCTTTTTTCAGAAGCTCAGGATCAGGTCTGAGCCCTAAGAATGTGTTTCTAACCAGGTCCAGGTATGTGGCTCTGGACAGCCTATGAGCTGTCCTTAGATTATGAAAAGAAAGAGCAAGGAAACTAGAGTGGTGGGGGGGAGATGGCTCAGTGGAATAAGCGCTTCCCTGGCAAGCGCAAGGACCTGAGTTCAATCCCCGGTTCCACCAAAAAAAAAAAAAAAAAAAAAAAAGAAACTAGAGTGGGGAACACAGGTTTCCTCACTAGACCAGGCCTTCCCAGGAAAAGGTCCCAACCCCAAGCAGCACAAGCAGCCCCAAGCCCTGGGAAGGATCCAGGTCTTTGGCCCCAGCGGAGTGGGTAAGAAGACTGGGGGCTAAGAAAGAGTGGCCAAGCAACAGGCAAGAGCTTGACTGGATCACAGCCCGAGGCAGCTTACAGGGCAGAAAGCTCAGCACTGCGGACACAGACTCCTGCCCTGACTCTTACCAGGATCCCAGGATTCAGTATGGCAGTCTGCTGCTACCAGGAGCTGAAGTCCCCGAAACCCCAACTGGGCTTTTTCTTGGCTACAGGGGCAGCTGTACTGGTTGATGGTTCTTCCTCTGCCACACGTTTCCTGAGAAGAGAAGAAGCACATTCTAGCTACCACACGGGTGCCGGGCCTCCAGCTGAGCTGAGAGCCTGAGCTGCTACCCTCCAACCCCCACCATTTCCCCAAGATGACTCAGAATCTGTACACACTCCTCCCCTCAGAGGCTTCCCCCAATACTGTGCTTCACCCTCAGCCCCCTGGTCCTGACAGCCTCAGGCTGCACAGAGGCCTTGGCCAATCTGCACAGAGCAGGTCCCTCTTGGCTGGTCCCTCACCCACTACACCTCACTCACGTGGCTGCCGGGTTGATGTACTTGCCCACTCCCTGGCGGTATGTCTGGGGGCCCTGGCTCCCAGGCTGGGGCTGGTTGGTCTTTATCTTGGCCTCTGGAGTCACTTCAAGCTTTGCCTTCCGCTCCTGAGCAATCTGAGGAGGAGCAGAGCTATGGCCAACCCGGCTTGCATGTGGAGTGTGGGGTCCTCCCAGACTGGTAGGAAGGGTGGCTTGTGGCAGCCTTCCCCATGGCATGCTGCACCCTCCTCACCTGGGCATCAGCCTCTTCATAGGGGTCCACAAACACTGTGGTGGCGTCGATGCGGATGTCCTCCTGGTGACAGGGAGCTGAGTGAGTGAGCAGTGGGCTCCTGTCCACCCCAACACCTACCTACTCAGGCACATACCTTAGGGTGGTCCGTCTTTGGGTCACTCTCCACATTCTCCATGGCTGTCAGTGTGTCAAAACCCCCAACAACCCTGTAGCAGAGAGACAAAGGGGGTCTGCATGTGCTCCAGGTGGTACCCCCGCCAGCCAGTTCCCAAAGCATGCCACGATGGGGACTGGGACAAGATGAGGGGCTTCTGAAGTTGCCACAGGCCACACCGGCCCGATAGTCCCAGGCAACAGCCAGGGGCAAGGGCTGGAGGGGAGAGGTGTGGTCAGCTGAGGCCTGACGACATGTCAGTCTCAGTTATGTGGCCAGAACTACCCTGCTGCTCCAACATTGCTGCAACCTCAGAGTCAAGTCTCTGTGGCTGGAATTACCATCTGGGCCTTTAATGAGAAAGTCTGCTGCCTTCTGCCTGCAGCACAAAGAAAAAGACAGGACATGGCCTACACTTCTAACTTGAGCATCATCCAAAAGATGCCCAGAGGGACAGGGCAGAGGGTTTGGGGCCAGGGCAGCTGGACAGACTGGGCTGGGACTCGTCTCCTTAAGCCCCTCAGGGCTGGCCAACTGATTTTCTCTACCTCGAGACAACAAAGCCCCCACTGTGCAGCCCTCAGCGGCAATAAAAGAAAGTTAAAGTGAGCACAGTCCCAGGGAGGAGTCCCAGCAGGGGGAGGACACGGTCAGCAGTGTACCACCCGAGTTCTCACAGCAGCTGCCCTCACCGTCCAAAGATGGTGTGCTTCTTGTCCAGGTATGCACAGGAACGGAAGGTGATGAAGCTGGGGAAGAACAGGGGTCAGTGTCTGCCATAAGCCATGCCACCCACCACCTTTCCTGGTGGCTACCGCGGCCACATCAGGAGTCCACTGGCCTTCAGGGTTCCTCCAGGAACCTGCAGCTTCCATGCATCTCTCGCATACCTGACTGCCACCTGCTGCCTGGTCTGTCAGGCCACCAATGTAACCTAAGACCAGCAAGGCAGAAGAAAGCCCAGAGCTGTGGCTGCCTGGACACTGCCAAACCTCCTGTGAGCAGGCGCTACGGCCCCCCGAGCTCACCCAAGCAGTTGCTTCAGGAAGGCAGCTGGGACAGGGGCCCGCACCCAGCCAGGTCACATCTGCTGAGGACCACAGACAGCAGACCAGGAGAAAGGAAGCAATGGAGCAGAAGCAAAGGAACTGAGAAAAGTGGGTAACAAACACACAGACGAGGATGCAACCCCATTAGCTAGGCACAAAAACAGGCAGACTTAAAGTCTGCACCAAGGCTGGCATACGAGATGGCTGCGGGGACTAGAAAGGTCTCAGCTCCTGTCTTGGGAAACATGGAGATACCTCCTAATGTTTACACTTAAAATAGATTTCTTGGGGCTGGTGAGATGGCTCGGTGGTCTAAAGCACCTACTTAGAACAAGCTAAGCTAAGCAAAGCACAGGGACTGCAGTTCGATCCCCCAGCACCACATGCCAGCCAGCCCCGCCCCCTGGTGGGCTGAGCTGGCCACACACAAAATGAAAATAAATGAATAAATAAAAATTATAAAAAAAAATAAATAAAATAGATTTCTTTAGTCCAGAAATAAATCATCATGCTTCCAAATGAGAAGGGGAAGAGAAATGAAAAGGGACACAAGACAAGGTATTCAGAAGCATAAAGGAAGATCCCAGAAAGCAGAATAGCAATCAAAGGCCAAGTCAGGATGAGCCAAGTAAGGCAGAATCCAAGTCTGGGCCAGTATAAAGGAAGCCCTACCAAGTTCAGAATCTGAAAAGCTGAAACTCAAGAGTTAGGAGACATCAGATGTAAAGAGGAAGGCAAGAAACATCCCGGGGTGAGTTACAGTGTAGCAAGCAGGAAGCCACTCCCCAGTGTGGCACAGAAGCAGGATAGCATGCCACCCTTGTCCCCAACAGCCCACAGACCTCACCAGCAGGCCACAGAGTGAACTGCTGGATTGCATCAAAATGCTGAGCAGGGACTCTTCCGAGCCCATCAGACTGATCACTTGTGAGGCCACCAACCAGTGAAGGCTCAAAGGTGACAAACCCACAAGCATATAGATGGAGACCTCCAAGCACTTTCTCTCTGATTTCCAACATAGTTCAGGAGGCTACAAAGAGAGTAAAAGGGGGCTGGTGAGATGGCTCTGTGGTCTAAAGCACCTACTTAGAACAAGCTTAGCAACGCACAGGGACCACGGTTCAATCCCCCAGCACCACATGCCAGCCAGCCCCGCCCCCTGGTGGGCTCAGCTGGCCACACACACACACACACACACACACACACACACACACAAATAAAATTAAAAAAAAACAGAGTAAAAGAAGCCAGTAAACAGAAAGGCACCCAGGCACAATGCTGCAGGCCTGTGATCCCAGCAGCTGGATGGTGAGGCAGGAGGATCACCAGGATCTGGAGGCCAGCCTGCTCTACTGAGTTGAAAGGCAGCTATGATCTACACAGCAAGACCCTGCCTCAAAAACAAAACAAAACACAAAACAGAAAAGTTAGTAACACAGGAGAAAATAAGATGTAATGAAGTCAAGTTCCTTGAGAAAACTAGAACTTTGCAAAAGTTGTCAGAGAGGGGACCAAAAAATACATGAAGAGAAGGCAACTGACCCACTAGCAGTTTCACAGGCTAAAGAGATATAATTAAAAATAATAAAGTGATCCTCATCCTTACACTCAATAACAAAAACAAACGATATACTCAACTTACTAGAAAGTAAGAAATGGCACTAGAAAGTCTTGGCTAAAAAGAAATTATAAGAACAAACCACTCAGCTGGGCATGGTGGCCCATGCCTGTAATCTCAGGACTCAGGAGGCTGAGGGAGGATTGCTTTGAGTTTGAGATCAGCTTGGGCTACAAAGTGAGTTCAAAGGCAGCCTGAACTAGTAAGAACCTGCCTCAAAAAAACCCTAACTACTCAACAGCTAGCAAGCCCTGAATAGGAAGTGTACACCATTAAAATGTGCAAAACAGGTGTAGAGCAGCACATGTGACCCTGGGCTCCACCCCCCACCACACACACACAAACTAAAAAGACAGATCCAGCAGCTGGCGAGATAGCTCAGTGGTCTTAAGTGCCTGTTTAGGGAAGCTTAGGCAAGCATGCAGGGACTGCGGTTGATCCCCGGTACCACATGCTGTACCAACCTCACCCTCAGAGTGGGCAATGCTGGCCACAAAAATGAATGAATGAATGAATGAATGAATGAATGAATGAATGAATAAAAATAAATTTAAAAAATCCCAAAGGACAGTCAAGCTACATTCTTAGATGATGCCTAAGTGCTACGTATACAGCTATTCTTCCAAAATACAAGTATTGGGGGCCGGGAAGATGGCTCAGTGGAATAAACGCTTCCCTGGCAAGCGCAAGGGCCTGAATTCAATCCCCGGTTCCCCCAAAATACAAGTATCTACTCCTCCCAACACGGCCAGGCTTGCACAGTCCCAGCCAGCTCTCCCCTGCCCACCTGTGCCTTCAGCCTCTCACCAGATGCACTGGCCTAGCACATGAGGCTGCCATGGCACACCTCCTGGCCACACACTTGTGCAGTCCTGGTCTCACCAACTGTGCTTCCAAGAGACCTTTCAGGACCTCCTGGTAAACTGACTGCCCTTCTCTCCCCTCACACACCATGCAGAGCTGCCTGCTGACTGGCGCGGGGACTCCCTTTCTTTATGCAGGTATACCCTATGGTCTGGATGTAACTTGGGCCCCATAACTTTAAGGAGTACTCAGAGTACTCCTTAAGAGTTTGCAAGCAATGTCAAGGCCCTGCTCAGGGCACCCCATCTGCTGGGCAGACACAACTGGGCTGAGACTCACAACTGGGACTTGTTGGTGTTGGGCCCTGAGTTGGCCATGCTGAGGATGCCTCGGCCCGTGTGTGAGAGGTTGGGTCGGAACTCATCTTTGAAGGTCTTTCCCCAGTATGACTCTCCTCCTAGAACAGAACACAGGTGGCTAGCAACAGGCACCTGAGTCTCAAGATGCAGCAGGCACTGGCTGGGGCAGGAGCAATTCCAGACAGTGGTCCTCGGGGAGCTCACTGCCAGCCTCCCCTTGGCCCCAGTATGTACATAGCAGCTGAGTACTGGTGGGCTGAGTGCCAAGTGCTGAGGTTTACCATGGTGCTGTGCACACCGAAAAGGCAGTATGGAGAGGCAGGAGGGATTCAGGCCTTTGTCTCCTGATCAGGGGTGTCCCTGGCGGCCCAGGAAGAACGTGATGCCCACCCCATCCATCATGAAGGTGTCATAACTGCCTCAAAATGGGAAACAAGGGCTGGCGAGATGGCTCAGTGGTCTAAAGCACCTACTTGGAACAAGCTTGGCAAAACACAGGGACCACGGTTCGATCCCCCAGCACCACATGCCAGCCAGCCCCGCCCCCTGGTGGGCTGAGCTGCCCCCAGCCACAAATAAATAAATAAATATTAAAAAAAAAAATGGGAAACAAAAGTCATGCCTAAGGAGGCACCAAGTGCTGGAGGCTGAGGCGCAATCCTGCCTTGTCTACCAGACTCCACATCCAGGGCTCTCCCACCTGCCTATCCCCTCAGACCCCACTGAGAAGCCCAAGGTGTCAGGGATAGACCTAGTATTGGAACCTACCTGTGCCTGTGCCTGTAGGGTCCCCACCTTGGATCTGCAAGAACAACAAAAGCTAGTGAGCAAGGCAGCCTGAGGCTACTTCCTGCCACCTGCCTGTGTGCATGGCCATGCCAGGCAGGCTCACCACTCTTATGCGGACATGGGGCCTCTCAGCCCAGCTGCACCTGGACTGGGGACTCCAAGTCCAGGCTGCAGGTCCCTGGCAGGATTCATCTACAGGACATACACCAGCCACCACAGCCTGGCCAAGGTGCCAGAGGCAGGACAGACACAATCCCTCTGCTCACACACACTCAACTGCAGACTTGTGCCACTCACCACAAAGTTCCTGATAGATCTGTGAAAGATGGTGCCATCATAATAGTGCTTCTTGCAGAGTTTAATGAAGTTTTCGCAGGTTTTCGGTGTCTACAAAACAGCCCAATGCTTCTGTGACTCATATAACAGCCAACAACAGGGCCACAAAAGCCCCCAGAGCCTTTACTACATAGTAAGGATGAGAATGGCTGCTGGTCTTAGAGACCTTGGTCTGGTCAGGCTCCAACAGGGCAAAGACCCCCAAAGCCAAATGACCCACCCAGCACAGGTGGAAGAGACGTGCTTGACTCAACACGACCCCAGGAAGGAAGCCAGGGCACGTAGGCTTTCTCTTGGGCACAGGTGATAAACATATACTGATTGCAGTTCCATACTTAAGACCTGAGAGTTGAGGCCAGCCAGATGGCTCAGCAGATTAAAGGACCTTCCTAGGTAGACACAAAGGCTGGTGGTTCGATCCCTGGCTTGCCATGCTGGGCCCGGCCCCAGGACACACTGAGATGGCAAATGAGACTGGGCATGAAGACCTGAGAGTTGAATGACCCCCAAATGACAGTGCAGTGGCTCGGGAACAGTGGTCACACTCACCAAGTCGCAGTGCAGCTCCAGATTGAGATCGCCCTTGTTGGTGTGCAGCCGTACATAGCCCTTCTTCTTCACAAACTGGTAACGCAGTACGTCCTCGTCGATGGCAGCTGCAAATAGAGCCTTGAGCTCCATGCCTGCCCTTGACCTGGGTGGTCCTATTAACTGGGCCCCGTAGCATCAAGACACATGAGTTAGGGTAGAGCTGTAACTTTGCCAGGAGCTCAAGAAACCAAAGCCCAGGATCTGCCCTGACTATGAGCAGACTCACTGGGGTACTAAAGCCAAGGGCCAGGAGAGCCCAATGGGCTCAGCAACTAAAAGGAAGATGCTGGAGTATGTGGCTGAGAACATGGGAAGAGACAGGGGGTCCATGCCAAGGGCAGGCCTGAGGGAGCAGTGCAGTATGATGAGCAGAGTACCACCTGGCCAGGGCTGATGCTCACACAGTCTGTCCCCGCACCAAACCCACCTCTACAGGCCACTACCTGATGCTGAGTCCCCGCAGGCAGGAGATGCCAATGTGCAGGAACCCAGAGGGACGGGCAGGGAGGAGGCCCAGCACTAGCACTGCGAACTCAGACCCCAGGGACCAACAGGAACGGCAGGGAGGTTACCTGCTTCATGCGTAGTCTCTGGCACCATAGCAGTAGAGGTGAAGGATGCACTGACCTTCCCCGTGGAATAGTGAGCCTGGCAGAAACACAGTGTCATTCAGCCCTGCCCAGGGCCTCTCCTGCAACCTGAGCCCCAGCCACAGGACCGCAGGACAGCCCACCCACGCCACCCTACTTCCAGGCCCAGGCCTGGGACTCAGCAAAGATCACATGACAAAGTGCACCATCACAGCAGTCAGGGGAGGGCAAGGCCAGGAAATGAGCATAGCCTAGATGTGACCCAGGACCCATGGCCTCAACTGGACTCCACTTGTTAAGTCAAACCCTGGGAATAATACAACCACATAGGACTAGTCTTCTCCAAGGGCAAAGGTACAAGGGAGGACTGATTTCTTCCTAAAGGTTTCAAGGTGTTTTTTATTTGTTTTATTTTGTTGAGAAAAGGTCTCACTACATAGTGCAGACTGGCCTTGAACTCACTATGTAACCCAGGCTGGCCTCAAAGTCACAGCTATCCTCCTGCCTCAGCCTCCCAAGTGCTGAGATTACAGGCATGAGCCACCACACCTGGCTCAAATTTTTCTATAGTAAACACATAATCGCTTTAGTCAGAAAAATAAGTCTTAGGGACCAGGGAGATGGTTCAGTAGAATAAGTGCTTCCCTGGAAAGCGCAAAGGCCTGAGTTCAATCCCCAATTCCACCAAAAAAAAAAAAAAGAAAAAGAAAAAGAAGTCTTGCCAGAGTGATGGCACATGCCTGTAATCCCAGCACTTGGTAGCCTGAGGTAGGAGGATAGTTGAGTGAGTCTGAGACCAGCCTGGGCTGCAAAGTAAGTTCAAGATCAGCCTGAACTGCATAGCAAGATCCTGTCTCAAAAAGCACAAAAAGAGAAAAGTCCTCATATTTTTTCCCCTACAAAAGAAAGAGGGGGAGGTACTTGCTCCATAAGGAAAAAAAAAAACAAAAACAAAAAAAAAAAACACCAAATTGCTCGCAGGCTTCGATCCCTGCATGCCATGCCAGCCTTACCCCCAGGGTGTACCAAGACAGCAATGGAGTGTGGTGTCACAGGCCTGTAATCTCAGTGCTTGGGAGGCTGAAACAGGAGGATCACTAAGAGTCTGATCTGTGTAGTGAGACTCTGTAAATCCTGTGCTAAGTACATTAAAAAGAACAATAACAAAAACCCACCAAACTGCTAAGGGTGACTGTTTTGGGGGAGATTACAGACAATAAACTCTTCATTTTCCAAATTTTCCTGAATAATCCCTCATAGGGGAGAACCTGAGAGTTGCTGCCCTGGCCTCTGGCTTTCCCACAGCTCTGGCTTACCAGGCTCTGCCTCGAAAAGGGAGGGAGAGCAGATCCAGGCCAAAGGGCCAGGCACCAATTCAGCACCACCACTGCTGAGGGGCTTTAAGGAGGCACAGACATGGTGGCCCCAGACACCTCAGCAGTCCCACAGGCTCTGTCTCTCTGCCTCCACGGACCTGCATGACTGGGGTTGCTATGTTCTGCGGTATAAAAGCAGCCTTCAAAACCCCTAGAACTAGCAGGCAGTTACCACCCAGGCTGGGGCAGGGACTGGGCAAAGGACATGGACCAATGTCGGGCCCTTTACCTTCCCCAAACCCGGCCATATTGGTAGCCTTAGGGACCTGAGCATGCAGGGTTCTGGCCACCACAGCTTTGGGGGGTCCCACCATCTCTTCCCATGTGTTCCAGACTCCATGAGCCCCTTCTTTAGGACCATTTCACAGGGCTCAGAGAGGCAGGTGATGACACTGCCCACTCACAGCGTTCAACTGGTCCACTTTCTTCTTCTCAGGAACCTTCATGGTGGCTGCCAGAATCTCATCCCCTTTGAATTCCTTGTAGAGCTCCTGCAGTGTCTCTCGGGTCTCAGTGTTTGTGTTTTTCAAATAATAAGATGGGTCCTGCTTGGCCTTTTCTTCATCTATAAAACAGTACAGAGGCTCTGAGCTGCTGAATCCAGCACAGGTCACAGCTGGATGAGATGGGGACAAATCCAGAGCAGACTACAGCAGCATTAGCCACAGGAAGGCTTGCGACAACCCCACACTACTGCCGTGGGCCATGCCAGCAACTGGGGGCACAGCAAGGCCAGGCACCCAAGGCTCTCCCTCCTGCACTTCAACAGAAATCTTGGGGTAGGAGAATGGGGGCTCAGGGACAGTTCCAGTTCCTCTATGTTTATTTGCATATTCCAACCTTTTAACGGTATATATTTTGCTCTTGTCTTTAAAAGTAATTCTTAGGGGCTGGGGAGATGGCTCAGTGGAATAAGTGCTTCCCTAGCAAGCGCAAGGGTCTGAGTTCAATCCCCGGTTCCAACAAAAAATAAATAAATAAATAAATAAAATAAAAATAAAAGTAAGTCTTAAAGTGACAGAAGTGCCTGGAGTCATTCCAGAAATGAAAAGCCTCATCTGCACCCCTACAGGAGGGTTACAGTTCAGCTGGAGGGGGGTCAGAACCTGGGCCCCAGTCCCCAGCCTCTCGGTCTCTTGAGCTCAGATCTATTCTAATCATGTGCCAGCCTCTCTGAATTCTACGTGGTTCATACAGTGCTCATCACTGAGCACCTGGAAGCTGTCCTTTACCACCTGAGGCCAACTCATCTCTGGGCATGAGTCTTGCTGAAGCAGAAGGACGAAGGACCCAGCCACGTCTAGGACAAATAACTGGCATCGCCCACAGCCTCTACCCCAATGACACCTCCATCAGTGTCCGCTGGACACTGCAGTCCCAACTACAATCCAGGGAGGGCACAGCCCCCTAGGGCTGAGGAAGACGGGAGATGTCCTGGCAGGGTGGCAAGATGGACCTGCTGGCATTTCCATAGCTGTGGTCGGCCACTCTGAAGTCAAACACTAGACAATGATTTGGGAAACAGGGAGCCAACCTAGGCTGCAGCCAGAAGCCTGAGGCACAGCCCTACTCCACTGAGAGGAGCTTCTGTTCGTACACACCTGGGTCTATTACTTTCATGTTATTCTTAACGTGGAAGAAGTTGGAGACATTGAACTTGTCCAAATTAGTGGGGTCCTGTGGAAAAAGAGAACATCCAACAGAGTGAATCCAGGGCCGGAGCTGAGTGGCTGCCATAGGCAAAATGGGGTGGGCAGGTGCCCACATGGGAAGAGGCCAGCTCTTAGCCATGGATAGGGCACTGACTGGCTAGCCAGTGACCAAACAGCATCCCCCTCACCCACAAGTAAGGAGCATCACTTGGTGGTAGGTAGCCACAAGCTGGCCTGGGCAGCCACAGGGCTAAGTTCTGATCAAAATGCAGTAAGCCACAGAAGGGAACCAGACATGGCTGCTACCCTGCCCCAGACTCAGCTCCACTCAGGCCATCCCAGCCTTCCTACAGAGTGCTCATCTGTTCACTTGGGGCTGACACCTATGGGGACCCATCCTTGAAGTGGCAGGAGAAGAGCCAGCTTGCAGGGTGGCCACCCCATTCTGATGCCTGAGAGGCAGAGAGGAGGGGTAGCCCAGGAGCCAGGAATAGCCCACTACAAGTGGGCAGAGTCATGGGAGGAGACCACAGGGAGCCCCAAGAGCTGGGTGGACAGGGCACTGAGACTCACCTGGAGAGTGATGATGTCCTGCCTAGAGAAGGGCTCGTCAGTCAGCAGGTCCCGAAAGTTCTTGGCCTTGATGTTTAACTGTTCCACTGCCTAGGCCAGGACCGAACAGGCATGACGAAGTCTGCCAGAGACCCTGGGCCCATTGCAGCACCGTGGAAAGGAGGGCAGGTATGCCTGCCACAGCGCCCCCACACCCAGGGCAGGGCAGGGCAGGCAGTGCCCACTGACTGGAACACAGCCTGCTCACGGGAGGATCCAGGTACATTTTAGAGGGCAGCCCACAAGTTCAGTGAAGCCACTTCCCACTCACTCCCTGTCTACTGAGCACCACACGTGTGCCAGGCCCAGAGGTAGGTGCTGAGGCAGGCACTAGGTGAACGTAGGACACACCATCTACACACATTCTGCTTGTGCTGCAGGCAAGAAGGTGCTACCGAGCCCTAGGCAGCACTGGCCACCTCAACCCTGCAAACATCCAGCTGGGGAAGGAAAGGGGCGCAAATCTGCTCTGCAGTGGGGGGCTGCTCCCAGCCTCTGCTGAGCAGCAGGACCGTGCAGAAGCTGTTCCCTCCCAGAACTACACCACAGGATGCAGGAGCTCCTCCCCACCAGATCGCTGCCGCTACGCAGGGAAAGCTCCTCCCTGCTGCCCCATCTACAGGGCTCGGCCCTCCCCAGGGCCTGGATTCTCAGGGCACCCTCCTCAGAACTGCCAGGATTTCAGGTCTGCAGGCCACAAGAAGCGTCTCCCCCTTTGTGGGTCTGTCTGGAAGTAGGAAGGTGCCACCAGAGCTCAGCAAGATACCCTTATGTGGGTTGGTGACTGTGACACTAGGTCCCACAAGACCATACACCATGGGGCTGGTGAGATGGCTCAGTGGTCTAAAGCACCTACTTAGAACAAGCTAAGCTAAGCAAAGCACAGGGACCACGGTTCAATCCCCCAGCACC